AAAGCGCGAGCAATCACGAAAAAAGTAGATGCAAAAAAGAAAAGAAAAAATAATCGTACGAGTGCTGCCATCTATTGTGCGGAAATTCAAGTGTGTGATGGGAACAAATTTTTAACCCACTTATTTCAACTGCAAAATTAATCTTATAAAATATTGAATCCAATTAAGATTTTTGAAAATAAAATTTCCTTTGAATATTAAAAAAGAATCATACATATCATAAATTGTATACCAAAATTTTTAAAATATTGAAAAATGCGAGATACATGGATATCACTCTTGTGATCCTATTTTGAATATTTTTTGCTTATAAACTTAAGCCCTGGTATAGTAGTAACATCTACTGAGAAAAATAATAACTAAAATAGATTATTTTTAAAAGATTAGAAAACTTCTAACGGAAATTGCTAACTGAGAAAATAAATATTAATTAGGTGGGACATGTATTGACCCACCATGCCGCAAAGAGTTAAATGCTGCATAGGCTGTCACCAGCTGTCTTGGTTGCTCCTTCATTGCTCTTGTCAAGTGCATTCAATTCCACTTCTGACAAAAATTCTTATGGGGGTGCAGGTTTGTAATGGATTGAATGCACACGAAATGATGATAACATGATAAAATTTATTTTACCTGAAAAAACGAATTCTGGAATTTTCCACAAAAGTACTCGTGCAGTTCTTTCGAGTATGACACAGCACAATCAGTATTTACCACTTCAGACTACTAAGAATATTAAACACAGGGAAATGCAAAACAAGTTTAACCTTTTAACTGTCATGCCCGAAATAATCTTGGGCACAGCGCAGTTTTGATATTCCAAAATGTCACGCCCAAATATTACTCGGGCTAACTTTTTTTGAGTGCATCGTATTGTTATACCCGAATATATATCGTAAGAAGTTTATTCCGGCTTCAGTTCAACAGATGGCAGCATTTTACTAAAGGTTAAAGTTCAAAGTGCGTGGCATTTTTTTGATTTTTTTGACTGCAAGGCATACATTTCATTTTTGAAATAAAAAAAGAAAATTGACAATTTATGTACCCAAATCATCAAAATAACTTGACAGTTAAAAGGTTAACCCCTTAAGCTGCATTCAGACGTGGGTGTAAAGCTCATAGAGGCATAGTCATAAGGACATAAAATACGGGACATCCGTTCACACCTGCGAGACGGGGGTCTAAGCTGTGGCCAATGAGAGAAGCTAAATTTGCACATGGGTGGATATGTCTACACCTTTCGTGCGCTGTTTTTCCAGCACGATTGATTTTCTGCGCTCGCTCTGCTTGTTTTCGTTATTTTGTGCCATGACTTTTACAGCTCGCCACAAAGTTTTACTGGTTCAACAAAATGCTCTTTTATCTGCCCTTTTTATAAGCCAAGAGGCAACGGAAGAAGGTAAAAAAAGAAAAATAACGAAATGATCTAGAGATATTTTTTGAAAGACCAATACTTGGTTGGCACATATCTTTCTGTGCAAAGCAGTATGGAATATTTCTGCATTGTACTGTAGTACTCTCTATACTATAAACATGCGCATGCATATTTATATACTATATAAAACCTTCTTCAATTTTTATATATAATTTCTCTTAGGAGAAATACAATATTCTAAATATGCCTAATTAAAAAAATCTTGAGGATAACTAACAGAATAGCCTGTATATAGTATCTTTTCCATTTTGCAGGTGTGAAAGCAGTTAAGCTAAAAACAGTACTTACCATACATTATATAAATTATTATTTTTTTTTAATTTTCAATCAAAAGGAACATGTTTCTGTGACAGTGAAACGTGTGTGCTTAGCACTCCTTATTCACTCTCCCTGTCGATCGCTACTATAGTAGTTTGGCTGCACTACCAGTATCGATTATCACTAGTAACTAGTATCCCACAACTGGTCACAATGACCAGCAACCACAACTAGTACAATACTAGGAAACGTTCACCCAACAATGTATTTTATGCTCAATTATTAAATACATTTTGCTGTGTTGCCAGCTGTTTGTGTACATCTATTTTTTAATAATTTGCATGTATAAGCCGCACCCCTGAATTTAATTTCAACATATGCTGCCATTTCTATTTACGACCAAATCTCAAAAGTAATTTCACATTGACAAATTTTAGGTACCCAAGTCTTCAAATACATTTAAATTAGAAACATTCATACCTTATGCAGGAATTTCTACCAGAGAAATAGCATGAATTTAATGATCAAAATTCCATTGAAATGATAGTAATAAAGAGTGGATAATAATAACAAATACTATTCATTAAATTATAGTCCATGTTATGAATTATGTGTGCTATTTAGTTTCATTAAAAGTAAATTCCTTTCATGGAGAACGTAATTAAAAAACATAACAGAACTTAAACATAACAAACAGGAGACAAAACTGTCTAGACTGTTGACTGTTGTTTTAAGGATGTTTCACTACATTTTTTCTTTCTTGGAATTCATAAGAGCATTTTCTCAAAAGATTAAATCTTTTATTACTTAAACAAAGCTTACACCATTCAATTGACTATTCTTAAATAAGTGAAAATAATTGTTTCTTTTTTTTCTAAAGTAATATTTTTACTGTTAAAAAAAACAGCAGATTCTTGATATTGATTTGATGTTTTAGTAAAATTAATTCATGAAGTTTGTTTGGAAAGAAAATCAGCATTTTGAAGCAAATAGCAATACAATATTTCCAGCTTTTTTAATAAATTTATTCTTAAATACAAAAATAATTAAACAGGAAAAAATTATAGTAATAATTTAATTATAGACATTAAAGAAAGTAATAATAATTTACACAGAAAAAATAAAATTTTTATAAGCATGCATTTTTTTTAAAGAATTTTCATAGTAAAATGAAAAATACTGGATGGGATCAGTCATCTACAGGATCATACGCAGCGTGCATAATCCTGAGTTTAACTTTTGCTTTACGAGTTTTATCCATATTTTGATCAACTCTTTATTTCGCTCGGATACGATTACAACTCATTATTTCATTCGGATACGATTACAACCCATTCCGATACGATGTGTTCCATATTTAAAAAAAAGTCGCCTTCGATGTGACAGCGAAATCGTCTGAAGAAAGCCGCTTCGTTTGAGCTTCGCTCTGATTGGTCGATGCTTATCCCAAACTCGGCGTAAAGTTGAAAACTTGAAACCCTATGCCACGAGCTCTAAACCAGATTCTGTGACATAGCAGTGACTGGTTGCCTTGGCAACAGAGCTCTGCTTTAACCACTTGTGCCCTTTACGCCCTCGTCTGAATGGGGCCTTAATTGCCGCGGCCGTATATATATATATATATATATATATATAAGCTTTGCTCAGCTGATGCGTTATTCGTCCTGGGCATATATATACGTTCTTCTGAAATACTATCATTTGCTTTGCGCTGCTACCAGTGAAATTATTGGCAAAGATTTGGAATGCAACACCACAATGACCTTGGCAGAATATGTGAAGGAGAATATTATTTCAGAGAAGAGGAGGGGGGAGAATTGGAGAGGGGGATGTTTCTGAAACGGTGAAAGTAATGACTGCATGGTTATTGCATGTTTTTCTGTTTGAGTAAAATGTATTTTTTTATTCTGTGTCTTCCGTTTTCGTTTACTGTTTGCAGTAGTTGCTTTTTGTAGTAGGTGATGGGGAAAGTAATGACTGCGTGGTTATTTCTCGTGTTTCTGTTTGAATAAAACATATTTTTTTTATTCTCTGCTTTTCGTTTACTGTTTGTAGTAGGTGCAGGTGCCAGGAATAAAGAAAGATATAACGGATGCTTCAAACCTACTTACCTTTTTTGAATTATTTTTTGATAAACTGCTCGTCCTTCATACTGTTACTGAAAATAACCTTTTTGCAGACCAGTATATGAACCAAAATCCTGCTAAAGAAAAATCAAGAACAAAATTGTGGCATCCAACCAATTCAGAAAAAATATATATTTTTTTTTTTAGGTATACTGATTTTACAAGGTAAACATTGAAGCCTGATATTACACTTTACTGGTCTAAAAATTTCATCGAAACTCCATTTTTTGGGAACTTTTTTATTATACATTATTTTTATTATACAAATCATTTTTATTATACCTACATTTTTATTACACAAATCATTTTTATTATACCTACATTTTTTTATTACACTTTTACTCTAAACATTAAATTTTGTATTTTCATTTTTTCTTTTATTCGTTATTTTGTAAAAGTAAACAGTTTTTAAGCAGCAAAATTTGCACTTATTTGCCCCCTAATACATCGCATAACTACGCGCTACTGTGTAAAAAACGGTGTCACTAAGGAGTGAATCTTGTACTTTTTCCATGGCAGTTAAGGTGTTAAAAAGTAAAGTTCACACATGATCTCTTAATACTCGGAACTTAACTCTAAACTAAACTAACTGATGTTTTCTTTGGACTTATTTAGTTTTCCCCAGGCTGCTGAGAAATTTCCAACATCTTTGATTTCGTGAAATTGTTGGAAGGAATGCAAAATTGCCAAATGGATTCCAATCGTGGTGATTTTTGGCTATTTCTTGTCAATTTCTGGAACAAAAACTAGTTGCTAAAACCATCACTAACTTCGTGCTACTATACCTCAATGTTAAATGGACCTGCCCCTGTAATGTTATTTTTTTAGCAGAGCTTCACTCTCTTGAGGCATTTCATGTTACATTCTACAAGAGGTACTCTGATTTATATATAATGTTACTAAAATTATTTCCATACATACAAAATTTGTAATAACATTTTATGGTGTTCCTATATTAATTGCCATTTAAAACTGGTTTTTCCTTTTTGAGCCACTTCATGTATTGTAAATGATTATGTGAAATAAGAAGCTTTAAATGATATCCTTCAGGAAGATCTGCAGTTATTATTTCAGAATTTTAAGGGATATTTAATTTTAAATTTGTGTAAACATTTTATGAAATTTTTTTTTTCTATAAATACATATGTAAAACACTGGCAGGTAAACAGTACTTTATTTCTTAGGTACTTTGTCTTGTGGGAAGAGCACTGAACATATATCCTTTAAGCTACATAGTTAATCACTTCCGTGAACATAAAATAACTAAAAAGATGATGTTTATAATGTGGTTTAGTGGTAAGTTCATCTGTGTTTTTATAATGAATTTCTGCCACAAAAAATCTGTGCACCAAAAAAGAATTGTTAGTATCGGATAAAATTTTATGTTTATGAGTGTTATATGGATATAAGTGAATGATTACAGAATTAAGATAAAAAGATAATTCATTACAAGAAGAACTACAGATGAATAGAAATTTATATATACTGTGGGGCATCTTGAGTGTGAATTCATGACATGCTTTATCGATGACAGATTGGGATCGGTCAGTCAAGGAAACGGGTGGTAATGTGATGGAGGCATTCCTGTGACACACTTGTTGTATGTGGTCGAGCATTGCTCTCCTGAGAAAAATGCCTCTTGGGAACCCAGATAATACAACTTGTACGAATGCTCATACTTGTATGAGTAAGCAATCTATGTGGCTGAGGAATGTCGCACATGCACAATTCATCATGGTGTCATTGAGAGGTGACTGGATGTCATGTATGATGGCACTCCAACCATTACATTGTGGTGTGTTAATGTAAAGCAAAGGTAGAATTGAGGCATTCACTGTTGGCTTCCATATAAGTACAGAATTGTTATCTCTGCCCAAATTGAATCTTAATGGGTGTCATTGGCAGCACATATATTAGGCACTGCAATACCAGTTGCTTTTCAGCCGCGTGCCTCAAAATGGTATAGATAGACACAGGAGCCTGTGTTGAAAGTGCTGCTTGTGCCTGAATGACAGACTGATGCAGTTGGTCATGTTGGGTAAAGTAATGATTCTCTTGGCTGTTGGTTTGCCAAGGGCATTCTGAGCCTAGTCACCATTTATGCAACCTCTCTGGTGTCCATTTATCCCTAAACCTCATTGAGGAGCCTAGATGGCAGCTATTCGTAGAGTTGATAATGAATCTTTTATGATTCCCATGATTCTTCCCATCTCAGACTCTTCAGTAGTGGTGTAACGGTATCCCTCGTGAGAAAGCAATTCTCAGTAAAAAATTAAATGTAGGCCTATGCATACTTTTTTCATGTGTTAGGATAAAGTTCTCTCTGGGGCATTATACAATTTGTCATCATGCTGGATTTTGAATTATTTGCAAATTTTTTTGATGCCTACCTTCCTGCCAAGTTTTGTTATGACCTGACAGTTATTTCTTGGTGCACAGATTTTTATGGTTGTTTTTGTACACACATTCTATGTAATTAAAAATTTTATTTAAAATATAATTATTTCATTATTTTCTGTTATAATGATTTTAGAAGTGTTTGTAATTTATTATACATGAAAGTCTTTAAGAGTTTTTTTCCTAAAAAATATGAATAATTCATGTAAAACTCACAAAGGCTTGGTATAGACCACAGGTCTTCAAAGTGGTCAATATTGCCTTCCCCAGGGTCAGTATGATAGTGAGATAGATGAATTTGGGCTTAGGTTACTGGAAAAGTAATTTAAAATTTACTAATATAATAAGTAACTAAATTAGAATGATTTAATTTTGAAATTAATTGAACATTGCTATATAAAAGAATAATTTTATTATATAAAAAATGAAACATTAATTGGAATTTCTTATTAGAAAAGGTAAATAATCAAAGCAAAATATGCTGCAGTGGTATTATCAAACTGAAACTTCTCACTGTGAAGTAGTTTATTAATATACATCACAATAATATTGATCATCATATATTGATAGTCAGAGAATTCTGCTGCTTTAATAAAAGTTTGTTTAATGGCTTTCATTAGTTTTAAATATATCAGCTATAATTTGAAATATAATGAAGAGGCTAAAAATTTATAATACAGTCAAAAGTCGTTAATCCGGACTCGTCGGGACTTCGGCAGTTCCGGATTATCAATTTTTCCGGATTATAGATCATCAGTTTAAATCTTGTGAGATGGCATGCAGAAATGCTAAAATTAAAAATATGAAAGCGTAATTTATGAAATAAAGAACAATTATGATCTAAAGGGTATCAAAATTTTACAAAAAAAAAAGCTTAATATTTATTTGTTTACTTTATTAAACATTTCTTTCAATGTAAGTTGTTTAAGTTGCTTCATTTTATGTAATACTTTCTCTTTAATTCTATAAACAGACATAATTTCTTGTTCAGTTACAAAGTTCCGCTGTTCAAGTCCCGTAATTGCTGTGCCGAGAATACCGACTAACATGTCAATCGAAATTTTTTCGTTTTCACTAACCTCTCTGTCACCTTCTTCATGTCTTTATCCATTTTTTGCAGCAATTCCACTTTTTGTTTGATGGACATCGAAACATACTTTCGTTTTGTAGATCCTTTGGGAGCTCCAGCATCGGAAATTCTATTTGACATAATCGAAAGTTCAAGTTTACTTTTATAAAAATTGCTTTTACAGTCTGCAAAAAATAATAAGCCAGATCCAATTTGAAGATTAAGGAACAACGCAATCATCAACATTAACTGAAATATATAATTAGATAATTTTAGCTTATACCGTCCGTTATACATAAAACGCGCACGCGAAAACGTATTCTGCGCTTGCGCACACGCGCAGTCGTAAAGGTCTTAGGCGCAGGCGTAAACGCCTATGCGCATGCGTCAACGCGGCGCATGCGCAGAAAGTTTTTTAGCTTTGAGGTCCAGATTATAGATCATTCCGGATTATGGGTGTCCAAATTAACGCCTTTTGACTGTATATAAATATAAAATAAACAATTCTAAAGCTATATTAGTATTTTTAAATTCCTATCATAATTACATAATTTTAAAGTAAAAGGGGGTTGATAAGAAATTCTGAAATTCTTAAAAGGATCTCAAAAAGTTGAGGATATCTGCTCTGTAGACTTTTAACAAGGTAATTTATTTGCAAAATGAAGTTATGAATTCAGTTTGCAACCAACTGTACTATATTGTTTGAAAATTATGGCTGTAAAATAATACTAAAGACATTCAGTAAGTTTTACACAATTGTATGAAATAAATATCCTTTATAACTTACTCAGTTTTCACTTCACATATACTCAGCACTTTGATCACATATACTCACACCTACCAAATTTCATTTATGTAGCACAACTCCTTCTTAGTGTTGAGATTTTTTTCCCTCCTGTCAGTGTATGTAATATAGTACCAAGTCCAAAACTCGTACATCTAATATCCAGAATGAACTAATATCTCGACCTCTGGACCTCTAGCAATGTTTTTTCTTTTAAGAATTTTTATTTATTTATTAGCCCAAAGGAGCAGTTTGCCCAGAAGGGCTATTGATTTTGTTTTGGTATTTTGCGCTGAACGGGAACGGCAGTATAAACAACATTTCTTTTTCCAAATTGTTGCCACCAAATATTAGAACCCTGCATTATATTTAAAGAAATTAAATGATGAAGAATCTGCATGAATTTATGTATGTTTCTTGCACTATGAAAAAATGGTACCTAGAGACATCAAATTTTGAATAGTGTAGTCCTCCACTCGATGGGCATCTGGAAGCCCTAATTTGGAATTTATTTTATTATCTGTTTTATATTTTGTAAAACATTAGCGAATTTTTATTTAACAAGCTCAATGATTTCAAAGTGAGCAATGGCAACACTGTACGGGGATAAAATATCTCCAGTGCATAAGACTGTGTATTGGAAATTCTAAAGGTATGCTCTCTTTAAATTATTTTGTGATATTGCTGTTGAATTGAATTTTATGGTTTAAGTGCTATGAACATGATATTTAATAATGCTAATGCACAAAATGTAAAAAAACGGCCCCTTGGGCTTATAAAATCTGGAAGCTTTCAGATTTTGTTTTTATATATTTTTTAAAGTTTGAGGATGGAGAAAAAGTAGGAATGCTATAAAAGCGATTTTTCATCTGACTAACTGAGATTCCTGTGTGTCACTTTCAGACAGGCAGTGATTTATTGACCTCATATTGATGTTAGCCATGACCACATTTTCTTCCCTTGAGTGATTGAGGGAGGGGGTTAAAATTTTTTTATCTGACCTGAACTATAAGTAAAGACCAATACATATTTATTTGGAATAGGATGTTGCTTCAACTGGCTTTCTTTCATTAGCATTAAACAGGGAATGTAGGGAAGGGAGAAAGATTCCAGAAAACTTAAGTTCAGTTAATATAATAAATTGCACTCTTCCATTAACATTTTGATTTAAAGTAGCTTATTATTTTATTCCATATATTATCAGTCTTATCAAAATTACAGTTTTAGTATATGGTAGATAACATTACTCTTTTTCTTGAAACTGTACATTTAGCAATCAGCCAATAAATATCGGAATTTCATATGCACTGAAATGCAGAAATAAAATAGCTTTTTAAAAATGGATGCTGCAGTAAGAACATCCAAGAACTCTAGAAATGCTTTAAAAAAATCTGATGTGTGAGGCACTGCAAGATTTTGCGAGGATGTGTCTGCAGATATTTTTTAAAAATCCTTGGAATAATTTGTAGCCAGCTACCAAATTTCATGTTGATGAGGATGAGAACCACCAGTCTAAAGGCTTTCATATATCCCAAGAAAACAAAATTCTGATTAATAGAATATCAGAACAAATGCTAAATGAAGATGATGTGACTGAAGTCATTTATTGCGATGACAGTGACTTAGTCCTTAATCAGTTAATGGTATGGCAAATATCTGTTCTATGGTTTTAAATCTAGAAAATATCCCCATTTTGATTTCAAGTCTCATTTTAATTTCATGTGGTGGTGATTCAGAAAAAAATCTTTCTTAATGCAAAATAAGTCTTTCTAAAAGAAATTATTAAAAATGAATTTTTTTTTAGATTGAAATGCACTTTACTAGATTTAAACTGGTGATCTAAAATCCCAAATTGCTGATATCTTGATAATTATGAATCTTTGTATTATATAAACTAAATTGTATTTATTTTATTTATATAATATACACAGTTGATGTTTTTAGAACATTTCATTGTAGCTAATAAAATGTTTTTTCAATACCATATGCTATGTAAATAGTACGAAACAATCTTTCTGAAATGTTTGTTATGATGTTACTATATGT